GAAATTCAATATCGAAACTCGTTTATCGTATGTTTTGCTGGCTTATATTGCTAATTTTCGTAACTAAAAAAGATATTTTCAGATAGAACTCAGCACACTCCATCGAATACACCGATTTTGACCATAGTTTGATTTAATATTTGCAATTGAATTACTTTTATACAGAAAGTTTATTTGTGCGTCGCTTTGTTTTGTCGTAAAATGCTGAACTCTCAGCTTCACTAACTAAAATTTTCATTTTTCGAGACTTTCTAACGATCGATATTTTCTGAATAGTTCAGCTTGATCTAATGAAAAACTGATAAATTTTTTACTGATAGCAGATCTAAAGAGCTTCGATCTATCATAAAAATTTCAAAGAATTTGCTTTCGTCATTAACGAGAAAAAGATGTTACGATGTAAAAAAAAAATGAAATTTCGTAACACTTGGTCACGCCATTATTTAATACTTTAAGATATCATCGAAAGAAGTGAATTTTCGTCGGAAATAATTGAAATTGAGTTGAATGAATGCATGGGAAGATAGCTTGAGATTATATCTTTCACAAAGAATATTACCTTCTTTAATTGACACATCATGTTTTCCAAAAGTTTTCATCACTTTTCTATTGAAAAATATACTTTTTCTCAGAAAAAATGGGGTATATTTTCCGTTCTTTCTCTGTTTATGCTTTTCTTATCGGGTATTCTAGAATTATCGAAGGAGCTTCATTGTAGGCAATTGCTTTTTTTTGAAAAAGATTGTGGGACTACAATGCCTGGGAGAACTCTTTTTTCAGTTAAGCGTTCTTGTTACTAGAGAAAAAGGCACTCCTATAAATAGATGACGATTTTTTCGAGGTATTAAACGTGTCATCTTTTTGCTTTGCATACAAAGAAAGAGTTTTTAAAAAAGGACATTTCAGTCTGACATTCTCTTTCAAATCAGCGATGGGACCGGTCCGGTTAAATAGAGTCGAGATGATCTTTCAATTTAAGTTTGAACGGACGTTTTTAGTAAGATATAGCAAGAAAAAAATATAATTGTACAACGATTATCTGTTGTTTGTAACTCATATATTATCTCACATATTTTTTTAAACTTGTTTTGCAAGGTAAGGATGTTATAATAGAGTTAGGAGATCAAATGAATAATCTTTACTCTTTGTTTTCTCGAAATGTTAATTACTCTTAGCTGCTATTGTTTTTGATTTGGTGTTGCGTATACATAAATCACTAAAATCCTTATTAGTTTAAGATAAACTTCACTTTCTCTAAGCTCGTTTCCATAACAAAGTCTTCAAAATTCAGTTGACTAAGTAGAGACTTTTTCGGTTCGATTTGGTTCGGTTGGACAAAAATGGTAACCGATTCCATCTCTGTTTCAAATAAAAAAAACTGACACCAATAAAATTAAGGCTAATAGAATTTCGACTTGTCAAATGAGTTATTTTTGACCATTGTATATGGAATATCTTCCGAGTACGTCATGTTATATGGCTGAAAACTTCATGGGATTTGAATGTGCATGTTGCAAGATCGATTTTTTAGGTGAAGGTCTAATAATAATATGTTTTCTACATCAAAAGACTCACATTTTCTGTGCATCTTTCTTGTCTCCAATCATTGTATTTTGATATTCATCGAGCACTGTTGCTTCAATTGAATAATTAACAATAAGTGCTTTTTCTGTTGGATGAACATCAATCTGACCACCGCGAATACGTCTGTAGGAAAAGAAAAAATTATATTAATGTATATGAATTTAGTTTAAAAAATAAAAATAAAGAATTTAAGATGAGTCTTAAATTGTCGTGAAAAGCAAGATCAAAATTGACTCTTCACTTATTTAAAAAATATGTTATTATTAATCATGAGTAACTGACCTCTTGAGGTATTTCGCATCTTCAGCTGAATATAAAGCCATTGTTGAGAGAATTATCTAGAAAACAAAAATAATAAAATCTCTTTTTAGAAATGTTAAGCATCATGTTTTTCCTTCCAAACAAGCAAGTATAAATTCATTGGTTGCTAACATTGTACCATGTTGCTAAGCAATTGTCCTTTTTATAACGAACGTAAAATCATATAATTTATTCATACAGAAAGAAAATTTTCTTATTATTCAACAATAAAAAATTCATAAGATTTAATCAAAACGATTTAATTTCCAACATAGAGGTTTCACTATAGTTAATCACAGGATGATGGTGTAAAAAAAAGAAAGGAGTACAATAAAGATTAATTGATCTAATCTAGTAATGGCTACTACAACGATTGCAGTACCACCTTCCATTCTTAAACCATCAGCTGGTTCAATAGGTTCTTCTAAATGGTCAAATGATCCTACTGCCATTGAAAAATATAATTGGTTATTACATGTTATGTATGGTCGTGGTGAATATGATCGTATTCAACAATTTATTCGTATTCAATCTCATAAAAATTCTTATATGACATATATTCAAGCACTTGTTCATCGACAAGAAGGACGTATTGCTGAAGCACTTGATCTATTTCAAACATGTGTTGTGGAAAATCCATCTTTACTTAATATAAAACAAGTTGCAAAATCTTTAGCATTACTTGGTCGTTATCGTGTTGCTATTGATGCATATAAAGAAGCTTTAACAAGAACAAATAATGATTGGGAAATATTTCACAACTTAGGTTTATGTTATATGCAATTACGTGAATTTACAGAAGCTAAACAATATTTATTACAAGCATTACAAGTATCAGAAATTCAAGAAGCATCTTATTTAGCATTGGGAAAAATTTATATATTAGAAGGTGAACGAGATGAAGCTGAGGCAACATTTGAACGAGGTGCTAGGCGTAATCCTGAGTCACCAACACTTTTTACTCAACTTGGTCTGTTAGCTTTTGAAGTAAAAATTTTATTTAAATACCAATAAAAAAAAACAATAAATATTTCTCTTCTAGAGAGCTCATTATACAAAAGCATTTGAATGTTTTGGTACTGCATTAACATTTTGTCCAACACATACACCTGCTATAATGGCAGCATGTCAAGTTATACAAAAACATGGTGATGCTGATGTTGCTTTATCAAAATATCGTATTGTTTATGGACGAAAACCTGAATGTGCACAAGTATGGAATAATATTGGCATGTGCTTTTTTTCGAAAAAAAAATTTGTTGCTGCTGTTAGTTGTTTGAAACGTGCCAATTATTTAGCACCATTTGAATTATATATTTTATACAATTTGGGACTTGTACATTTATATTTACAACAAAATGCATCAGCTGCAATTTTTCTTCAATCAGCTATTCGAATAAATCGAAAACATGCACCAAGTTATGCATTATTAGGTAGAAGATCTACTATTCATTTCAAAATATAATGAGGCTCATTTCTTCTTTGAATAAATTTTGATAGGAACATTATAGACAGATGGAACCATTGAAATTTAATTGGTCAGCTGTTGAGAAATTAGATCAATTCTTGATTGAGATATTTTGAAGCTATTTTCGTATTATTTCAAACTATTAACAAGTCTAATCGATAGAAAAAGTTTTTCTTTTTCGATTCACCCCATGATTGACATTCCTAGTTTGTTCCCCACTCAAGAATTATAAAACTTTCGCTGAAATCTCGATTTCAGTCAATCGATATGAGATCACTCGGACAAGCACCTAAACAAGGATAATTCGTAATGCTGAGTCGAATGACGATACAAGTTCTTAAGTTGAAAATGAGTTGACTTTTTTATAACAGTATGTCGGAATTATTGAGATAATAGTGTCAGATCATTTTGAATCTAAATGCAAAATATCACTGTTCGACTCAGTGTGGTGAATTATTCAGATCTAGTAGCTTTTCCGAGTGATTACAGGTCAATTAGTTGAAATTGAGGGTTTCAGGAAAAGTCTTGTAACTCTCAAACAAAACAAGCTAACAATATTGGTTTTGTGTAGATCAAAAGGAAAACGACATGAAAATATCGTTTTTTAAGAAATTTCATCAAGAATTGACTTGATCAGTCAATTGCTGAACAATCAAATTTCGATGGATTCGAGTCTTCTCTCTTGAATGATGAAAAACACAAGTCTCTATAATTTTTCTATCAAAAGTTATTCAAAATGCAGTTGAGCACATTACATTTTGAAATCAATACTAGATTTATAAATAGATCATTGATTTCTTATATGAATATATAGGTGTGGCATTATCGAAACTTAATGATCCAGAAAATGCTTTACGTGCTTACACATATTCTCTTAAACTTGATTCAACAGATCCAATGGTTTTACTTAATTATGCTATTTTTCAAACTAATACAGGTGTATCTAAATCAAAAGTTGATACTACTCTTCAACAATTTTATAAAAATTATACAGAACGGGCTACGTCAACAAATCAACGTGAACTTGATGAATCTATGTTAGATATTGCTAAAAGACTAATTGCTCCAACTTCAGGAGTTCAATCACAATCAACATATTCACCACCACAATCAACATATTCACCACCACAAGCAACATATTCATCACCACCACCATCAACAGCAACATCTGTTCAATATGAACAAGATGATATACCAGCACCATCAACAACAATTTTTTCACCACGAAAACCACATGAAGTAAAATCACATGATGAAGATATACCTGAAAAGCCAGTTCAAGAAATACCTATGATTAAAACGAAGATTTTTGAGGATGGACGTCATAAGCAGAGGCGAGCAAAACAACTGCCTACTATATCAACGAATGCTAAACCTATGCAAAACGAAGAACAAGACGACTCTACAGTTTTCTAATTTTTGTTTTTTTTTCTTTGTGCAGAACCACTTATTTTACGAACAACACTTGTTATATAACACATTTATTTCGTTTTAATGAACTTTGTGAATTAAACTGTTCTAGTTTTATATTTTGATTATATTATACATAATTATAAAAAAAAAGAATTTTCAATCGTGTTGAATTCATTCAAAGACTTAATTCTTAATTATCGAATAAAACCTATTTTTATCATTTACAGATTTTATCATGTCATTCCGTGTTGAAACAGCTCCTAATCAATATACTGATTATCAAATGTTTTCTGCTGCACGATTTAATAATATCGGTCGACAATTTCTTTCTCTTGTTAATCCAAATTATGGAACTATTCCAAATGAAAATAAAACCGTTCCAAATGAGAAAAAACCTGCTTCGAATGAAAAAGAACCGACTTCGAATAAAAAAGAACCGGCTTCGAATGAGAACAACACTGCTCCAAATGAGAATGAAGCTCCTACAAATGAAAATGAAGCTCCTACAAATGAAAATGAAGCTCCGACAAATGAAAATAAAGCTACTACAAATGAAGACGAAACTACTACAAATCAAAACAAACCAATCTCTCGAAATACGATTCAACAACCATCTGATCTTTGTCGACCACGTCCGGAGCAAAGTTTATATTATATAGCTAATCAAGATGTAATCAAACAAATTGAAGAAAATTTTCTTCCACATCAATCGACTTTACCATATATGCAGCCAACAACAAATAATATTGATACTGATAGTCAATTAACAACATCAATACCTGATTGGCAAGCAACAAAACAATCAACAGAATCTACTCGATATCTTTCATCACAAATTGTTACAATTGTTCAATGTCGCTCAACATTATCATTAGTTTCTTCTTCATCGCTATCACAACGAACTAGTCGACATGCTGTTCGTTTATTTATTAATTCTCAAAAGCAACAACAACAACAAATGGATACATTTTTAGATATTGTTAATGAAGCACTTTTACTTGAATCAAATACGATTAAAACATTATGGGATACAAAAGGTGAACAAGTAAGAGAAAAAACATTCAATTGTTGTTGTTGTTGTTATTTGTTTTTGTCTAATATGTAATTAGGTTACTGATCCGATGGATTTACTTCGACGAGGTCGTCTCTATTTTGCATCTCGTGATACTAGTATTACTCTCGATGAATTAAATATTTCTGACAATGATCTTGCTTCAATTAATCGACTTGAAATAGTACGTAAACAATTGTCTCAACCGGCACATTTTGTTGAAAAACCTGCTAGTACTGAACAAATAAATATTCCATCACGTAAAAGTACACCGTTTGATGGCGATGAGCATCGTTCATCAGCTATACAAGCACAAGCTATGGTTTATAATGATCCACAAACATTTCCTGAAGTATTTTTACGTCATTATACAGTTGGAGAAGTATTAGGTGATGGAAGATTTTCAGCAGTTTTTGAATGCCGAGATAAAGCAACTGGAATTCAATTAGCATTGAAAATTATTGATAAAACTAGATGTAAAGGATACGTAAGTAGATAAAAATATTATCCGCCAGTCTTCCTAAAAAAAAAAAAATTCATTTTTGTCCGAAGTATCGAAATTACGGTAAGAAGAAAGGAAGAATATCCCTATATTTCGGCTATCTTGCGGTATAGGGTGCTGTTTAGCGACACATTCATTAGCTTGATATCTTCCCTACAACTATGACTAGCTGTAGCTCTAGACAGAAGGTTGACCTGACGAATCCGGTTAACGGACAGGTGATCTAAGACTAATAGCCATTAGTAACTTGTCCATGGTCATTTTATGTCTAGTGATACGGAGGCCGCATACGTTGCCAATTAGATACGACTCGAACAAAGTAGCCATTCAGCGATGACGGCTGCGGAATTAAGATAGATATTGAGGAAGATTTTCCAAGGCCTGAGCTTTCATAAATGATATGATTTTTATTGTTCGACATCTCCTTTTTCTTGGAAAAATTGTCAAGGATTTCTGTCATCACCCACTTGGAAAATGTGCTATTTTCAGAAAAAGTAAGAAATCATTTTTTTTTGTTTAAAAGACGATATGAAGCTGCAATGCCTGGTACGGCATGGTTTTTTTAATTAAATTTTTATTATTTTATTTGAAAAAAAACACTTCTTTAAGTAGATGATCACTCTTTGAGAGTTTTTCGAGGTATTAACCTTGTCTTACTTTTACTACAAATAAAAAATAAGAACTTAAAGAACAAGGACTCTGTCAGGCACTGCAGTCTTACATGCTTTTTCAAGTACAAAAATTAGATATATATATATAATGAGTACGTGTAGAGAATTTCTGATTGTCAAACGATCTATTTTTTACTTTTCTCTATTGAAGATCTCCGAAAAACGTCATGATCTAGGGTTGAAAATTTGAGTCTCTACAACAGTCCACACATATATTGAATAATTCCATGCGATTTGAATGGAACTGTCTAAAGATGAACTTTTGAGGGTTGAAAGTTCTTGATTAGTAGAAAAAAGATGAATCATCATTCTAACTAAAGAAAATAATTATTTTAGGAATATCTTATTGAAAATGAATTATCAATTTTACGACGTGTTAAACATCCGAATATTATTAAACTTGTTGAAGAATTTCAAAATGAACTTAAATATTTTCTTGTTTTTGAATATGTATCAGTAAGCATGATTGCAATGTTTTATGTGTCATTCAATGGGAAAATATGCTTTTTTGTCTACATAGAATGGTGATCTATTAAAAGCTGTGACAACAATGAATAAATACAGCGAACATGATGTTGCTTTAATGTTAAGTCAAATAGCTTCGGCTTTGAAATATCTTCATTCATTACAAATTGTTCATCGAGATATTAAATTAGAAAATGTTCTTGTAAAGAATATTTCCTAGATGCTTATAGGTCATTGTTGTTCTTATTTATTTACTTTTTTTTTCATTAGATGGCAAATTATCCTGATCAAAGTGTTACATTAAAATTAGCTGATTTTGGTTTTGCACTTTGTTTAACGGATCACACACATACTGTTGCAGCACGTAGTGATAATCTTTGTGGTACTCCAATGTATTTAGCACCAGAAGTAATTCAAAATAGAGAGTAAGTCACAGAATAAGAAGGTTCGATGGTGTAGTGGTTATCACGTCTGCTTCACACGCAGAAGGTCGCGAGTTCGAACCTCGCTCGAACCTTTTCTCTTTTTTTTACTTTCTTATAATGACAGAATGAGGAGAGCAAACAGAAATGCTGTTATGTGAAAATAAACTCATGAAAAAGCAAGATTGTCAAATAATTATTACATTTGGAACAGATTTTATCTCTCTGATATTTTCAATGATAATGAGTGTATTGAATAGTAGTATTAGAGTAATCATGATGAAAAAGAAAATAAATGAAAATTTTCGAAATTATTTGCCTTCATTAATAGCAGAAATGTTAGAGCGTTTGCCGAATAGCTCATGATATATCATTATTTTGAAATTTAGTCTTCTCTTGAAATGATGGTATGTAGAAATTTTTTTTTATAATTTAAGCTATCGAATTGAAAATGACATGTGGTCACTTGGCGTTATTGCATTTACTCTTCTCAGTGGTATGGCACCATTTGATGGGTAAAAAATAACTTCAAAATAAATTCAACCAATTAATTACAAACTTTTCCATTCTAAACTATTTTAGAGATAATGATGATGATATTATGTCAAATGTAACTAATAAACCAATTGATTTTAGTCTTTTGCCTAAAATATCAGCAGATTGTCGAGAAGCTTTAATGTCCATGCTTGAACGAGATCCAACTAAACGAATAAGTGCTAGTGAATTATTACAACATCCATGGATTAAAGTTTGTTTCATTTTATTTGAATGAATATATTTGAAATTTATATTTATAGAGTGAAATACAAAGACAAATGGAACCTCTTAATGAAGGACTAACAGCACGACGAAAGAAAGGAGCAGCACAAAAACAACCAATGTTGACGGTAAGATTTAATTAGATATACTAAATTTTAAAAAAGCAAATTTTTATGTATGGTATTTTTAGTTTTCATCAGTTGAACATCCTCATTCAATGCAGGGGTCGAGTGTCGGCGGTCTTCTCGGTGATCTTGATGAATATTAGAAAAAAGACTTTCCATTGTATTTTTTTATTAGAGAATCTCATTATAAAATACAAAGCATTTTTCTAAATTATTTTTTATTAGATGTTTCAAATGAATAAAGAACGGTTTCTTATTTTGTTTATGAGCAAATATATTTTCCATCATGAGACAATACTCTGAAGCTTTTCTATAAATTATGAATATTTAAATTTCGATAATATGATCTAGCAATTTTTGAACAACTGAATGAATTTGAACTCATTATTTAATCAAAATAAACTGTATTTTATAACCGTTGTGAAAATGATAAAAATGCTGTTTCAATGAATGTTTTCCATTAAAGAAAAAGCGGCTAAACATCAGATTAAAAGCGATTAACAAGTAATATAAAAATTAAAATAGATAATTAGAGATATAGTATATTAAAGTTGGTCACACTGATTAAAGATTTTATAAGACTGGAGAAAGGTGGTATTCGACGTTGAAAACTTTAATCAATTCTTTTACAATTGAAAATATCTTTTTTTAATATCAATAATATAATACATGACATAGGAAAGAAACGATTATTAGTGCAGCGTCTTTGGAACTGAAACGCAAATCTCATATTCCGTATGAGCTAGCAGATAATTGAATAAAAAATTTTTTTTAATGTAATGAAATATATTTTAAATTTTAGAACAATCGAAGTGAAAGAATGAAAGGTTTACACAGTGGAAGATTTATTTGCTTATTTAATAGCGATCAACATTAGCGACAGATTATCAAAGTGACTTTTTTTAAAACCATTTTCGATATATGAATTCCATAATGTTTAAAACTAAATATAGCATCAATTATTCCTTTTTCATCAAATAGGAACACTATTGTTTTTATGATATAATAAAGAAAAACTCTATTTGACATCAGTCAAAATGGATGAATTAATAAATGACTAGAATAATATTTCCTACGAATCGAAGCATTTTTATTGCTTTTCTCTTTGATCTTAGAATTTTAACCAATGGTGTTCGATATGCAAATCCCATATTTCCACTGCGGAACTACAATCGAGGGCAGTATTAAGATAATTGCTTTATACCTGTAGTTGCTATGGGAATATATTTTATGACCTTTAATCCCTGTTGCTGAAGTGTGTAATGAGAAGGCGGGAACCGCAAAACTTCACCTTAAAACTTATACTCACTGATGTCTTCGGAGATATATGTGACTTCCACAATAGATTTCTTTCTTTTATAGCTATGTGAATTATTCGAAATCTGTACTGCTTTTCTTTATAATATTCTTAAAATTGATAAAACAGTATCAAATAATGAATAGATAGACGTTCATATCAAGAAAATTTTAATCGTTCAAATGAATATTCTTTTTTGCACAGTTAAATGATTCACTATGTTTTTTTTCAATGTTATTAATCTGAACAATTTTCATTTTAAAAAAGAGTTTTCAACTGTATTTCACTCGATATACAAGTAATCACAAACAAACAAACAAAAAAAACAGAATATTTTCAAACAAAATCATTTTGTTGACGGTTGTTGAGATTTATGGGAAATTAGAATCGGATTGAAAAGTTTTATAGCAGATGTAATAGATGATGATGATGATGATGATGATAACGGTTTAATTATATTAATTTGTTTCGGTACAAGAGGGACTGCTTCACCTTTATTTACGGATGGAATCGAATGTGAAAGATACGTATCACAATCAGTTTTCGATGCTGCTACTAATCGAATAGTAGATGATGACATTGAATTCGCTTGTTGTTCAACATTTGATAGTCCTGGTTTAGCAACTGAGAGACGAATAACACGAGCATTACTAGTTAATGGTGGAGTAATCTCACGATTTGTCTAAAAGATATCTTATATAAGAAATCAAATTGAAATCAATTATTTTAACTTACATGTTGAGTTTCATTTAATCCAGAATTTGTTGACATAATTGTTGTTACTTTTTTTAATTCATTATTTTGTGCATCTCGAACAATAATTGTTTCATTATTTTCTCTTGTAAATGAATGTATATTTTGTTTTGTTATTGTTGATCCACCCATAATAGGTTTTAATTCAATAAATGATGTACAATGAGCTTGTTGTTTTGTTTCATCGTTATCTAAATAATTTCGAGTATATTTATCATAACGATTTGTTTGAGATGAACGACGACATAAACGACGATTTTGTTCATTGAGTTTTTTAAAGTCAAGTAATGCCATTGTTGTTTGTATATTTGAAAGAGATAATGATGATGTTGATTTTGGAAGAATTAATGTTCGAGCTTTAATTATATTTGGCTGAACAGGAGAAGAAGGAAGTGTAGAAAATGATTTTGTAATTAAATCTTTCATTGCTTAAAAAACAAAGAATTTTTTTTTTTGAACGAAGAAAAAGAAATAATTTTACCATTAGCATTTCGTATGTTTGTTTTATTTTGTTGAATTATATTATAAAAATTTAAAATATCTGGTGGTTTTGAAAGAATAATTGATTGTGTATTATTTGTTGAATTAACTGAAACAACATGTGCAATCATTGGTGTTTCTGATAATAATAATTTATCATTGTCATTTAATTTATATTTAAGTGGATCAATAATTTGTTGATATTTTTTTTTATATTCTTCTTTGGAATAATTTGGTGATACACAAAGATTTGGTAATGATGCATGAACACTAACAATTAATGCAAGATCAAGTACACATTGTGTTACAGATATAACTATTGTTCTTCCCCATTGATAAATAAGTTCATTAAAAAAACTTGTATCAATACTATGTAATAAAGATACATTCCTTTGTTGTTGACTTTTATTTAAAATAGTTGGAGTCATTAAACGACGAGTTGGTGTTGATGCCGAAGAAACATTTACAATTACCGGTAATGATGAACTAAATAAACAATTTTATGAATGAAACTCATTTCTTTTAAATGAATAACCCATTCTCTAGAAAAACTTTAATAGAATTGTTTCCGTAGTAGCGACGGAACCCGAATACTAGCGCCTCTCTAGTTTTGACTGGGTATTGACAGATGGTGTCCTCGCCAAGTATGTCGTGTCACCAAGAATACACGATATCACTAAAGTAATTGCATTTTCTACTAACTTTCGTAGAACAAGAGAGAAGCTAGGGTTCTGGTTTCGCCGTTAGCTACTCTACTTGTCATTTGTATCCTCGATGATGCAGCACACGTAGCAACGGTGTTACCTGCTACTATCCAACCAAACAAAAGAGGCGCTAGTGTTTTCATCCTGCAGATATTTTCTAGAAAGATATGGAGTGAAATCAGAGAAAGAATAGTAAATACGTAGAAATAGACGAATTTTCAAATCCACTTTGTTTTAAAAACTTTATTTATTTTAAACAATTATAAAGACAACAAAACAAAAGTGAAGAAATTTTTGAGTATCTTGAAATGTACTCCTTCTCCTCATGCTGTTTAAAGTCCGTTCAAAATACCTCAAATCTGCTACTTTATTATTTTCTTTTACAAGCTGAATTTACGCAACAAAACTATTAGATAAACTTAGGTTACTTAATCTCATACAATCGGCATTTCTTATCAAAATAAAAAGAAAGCTCGATTTCGAAAGATGTTATTTAGGCTTCGTCATACGACGTTTTTCAGAAGCTCTGCAACCACAAATTGATAGAGCTATTCGAGGACTACAAAATGGATATACTGTTTTTTCTTTCTTATCGCTAAGCTCAATGAAAGTACTTGAACAAAGCAGATTTGAGCTTTGAAAGCTAGCCTATTTCTACGTATCGAGTATTCTTTGTTTAATTTCACTCCTAATCTTTCTACAAAAATAAGTCTAATGAAGTTCTTATAAAAATTTTAACGACGCATATTTTGAAAATACTATCAAGTCTCAAGATTGAAAAGAAAAAAAAATTTTTAGTCAAAATACTGAGAGAAAGGCGATCTGTTAGAATTCGAATTTATTTACTCAATAGAATCTTTAATCGATGTTGATGAACATTCTGGACAAGAACATTTGATTAGAAAACGTTGTTGAGGATGTTGTCGATCATGTATATGAATAATAATTGGACCTGATTCACTTAAAGTTTTTAAAAACCAAGATGAATTTGTATTTGACATATTTGTTGGTGGACATATTGTAGCAATTTGTGGTGATGTAGAAATTTGAATATCGAAATTATCCACAATTATATCAATTTTTGTCCAATTTACACGAAGACCACGAAGTGCCTAAAAGAAAATTTTAATTAATAAATTCTCTTTTGTTTATTTATCAAACTTCTTCAATTTTTGCTAATATTTTAGTACGATGTGGGTGCCAATCAGCTGTACTATAAATAGCTAATTGAACTTCAATTATTTGATGTTCACGAGAACGAATTTTAAGTAAATATGTGTCGGGATCATGACCACCTAGAAAATTCAACATAAATATTTTCTATCTATGGAATTTTTAATATTATCTTACGTTCTAAAGCGGCTAATAATTTCGCTCGTGCCTTTTCGAGTGGTGTTTGTGTTGAATGTGTAACTGGTTCAAATTCAATCACTATTTGACTATTAACAATTTGTTGTGTATTATCATCATCATGTTCGGTTTTAATAGTTGGTAAACGTTCACCAAATTGTTGTTCTATTTCAGCATCAGTTAAATGAAGTGTTGATGATACTTGAGAAGTTGCAGGTGGAGGATGTTTTTTTCGTATGGGTGTTTTGACTTTTTTTGGTCTTGTTATCAATTCACTTTCTTCAATGTAAAATTTCTTTCGCTTACGAATGCGTTTTGGACGTGAAGTTACCATAGAATTTGATTCTTCAGTGTTTGAAGATTGATGAAGAAGATGAATATTTTGAACATACTGATCTAAGTCACCAGAACTGAAAGAAAGATAAATGCCTCTTCTTTTTGGTTGTTCTTTGTTGATGTTGACTTACTATTTAGAAGTAGCAAAACCCATTGAATCTGTAGAAATCATCTAGATAAAACAAAAAACTAAGATAAAAAAAATATTTTTTTTCTTGGACAATCATACATCTAATTCAATTGGTTCTTCTTTTAGTTCTATGGTCAGCTAAAATAAAATTAAAACAAAGTAGATTCAAATTCATATTGAATAAAATAAAATATACTTTTTCAGATTCTATGGGTTCATTTTTGATTATTGATGGTTCAGCGAATTCGATTGATATCGTAGCTTCTAATAGAAAAATTTTTACTAAAGTTTTTTAAATAAATTTTTTTACCATTATTTATTGATTGTTTATCACTTAATGTAGAAAGAATTGAATTCATATTTTCAAATGTAATTTTATTTGAAGATGCTTCATCTTGTAAACATTGAAATATATTAGTCGATGACTAAATATTCAGAAAAAAAAACAAAAAACAAATAGACAATTGAATTCTTGTTGAAAAAAATTAAACAAACATCTAACAAATTTTGATCATTATCATCAGACGTAGAGAAAAATTGATTTAGTTTAGGTAAATCTTGAATATTTCGTCGTTGTCTTTTATTATTATTTATTTCCATATTTAATTTAACAGGTGTTGTTGATTTTCGCTTTGTTTTATCTACTATGAAGAACATTAAAAGTTTCGAAAACTAGATGATTAATAAATCTACATGATGATTGTATAACACTATTGTTACCTTTTACTTTAGGTGACCAATTAATCGGTTGATTTGTAGTGAATATATCTTGTGAAGGTGTAGAAGACAGATTTGGATTTTCAGTTACCTTTGTCATTTGGTCAGGTAAGTCAATAAGAAATTGTTGAGCAAATGATTTCATATCCATGTCATCATTATCTTCTTCGATATGAAGATCAGTATCGTTATCAATAGTAATCGATTGTTCTTGTTCGTTTTTTGTTATTTTACTATGAAATTGTTGAATATCATCAAGTGTGTTAAATGCAGCAAAATATTCATTATCAATAAGATGATATTCACTTGATGATAGTTTAGTGTCATGTTCATTTATTTGTTGAACAAACGTTGAAAAAAGCGACATACGTGGCTTCTTTTTGCCCATTTTATGTAAAAGATGATAGACTAATTTGTTTGTTTCGTTAATTTCCTAAATGCAAAAACTCGCGGCCAACGTGGCCTCCGCAACGAACGGATCCAACAAAGCTATGATTTGCCCAGTAGAGTAAAAACTCGTTGCCAATTGGAGAATGATACTTTGTTGCAAGAAATTAACTAATACAACATAGAATAACTAAGAAAAGGTTGTTTTTCATAATCGTATGATATATAAAATTAGATGAAGGAGAATTTTTGAAATCGATAATCATAACAATAGATGACACTAGTAGTTGATTGAAACAGTCAGAACTTTTCCAATTCATTCAGACAACGCATATACCCTCAATTTTTTTTTCGAGTTTATTTATTTCCAGCGATCATATTGATATAGTAGACGAAATGTTTTGTAATAACTTGAAAAATAGTTCTTCATCGAAGTAAATGACATATAGATTGAATATTATTTATTGTGGAAATATCATAAATAAGGAATCGTAAGAGTTACATACGAAAAACAAAAATATAAACATTAATCTAATAGCAAATCAATGACCGAAAATTACTCTAAAAATCCTTGTCTTACTACTCAAATCATTGATTGTGTATGAACTTATGTTTTACCAAAAAGCAGGATCATATTCTTTTTAAACATTGAATTATTAAGGTGTGAAGTATTCGATAAAAATCAACCGTGTACTACTCTTACAGCATACATGCTCCACTATTTCGACAGAGGCATTTAAAGTCTAATTTATGATGCGATGATACAGTGAATTGAGAACTACTAGAAATCCTTTCAAAATTGTATAGAAACCTTGAAGTTCGAAGATAGTAAAACCGCTTTCAGGTCTTTGATGATAATTTTCATTTTGATGCAATGAATTCTGCAAAAAATAATTTTTTGAGTATGGAACTTTTTTTTCTTTTACTGACTTTGAAGAAAATGAAAATAACATGAGAAGTTAATCGTCACTTATCTTCAACAACTCATGATGTACACTACAGTTGTGTAGTTAGTTGATAATAGATAATGAAACATATAGATAATTAAGCGATCAATCAATAGCATTCTTTAGAAATTTTTGATAGATATTGTCACTCGTTTTTTACGAATTTTTGGTTCCTCAAAAAGCAACATACGAAGCTTCACAATCGGCATGGCCAGCTAACTCTGCTACCGGAGTGAAATTTCGTAACGAAATTTTGACGTTTTTCTCTGGTGATAGTTTTTTAACGAAAGCGAATGTAGTGCTGTGTATTGTCTAGACTTGTAAAGCAAACACTTCTCTACAAAATAAGACCTCTCAGGATTCTGTACGTTTCTTTGTTTAAAAACTAAAAGAAAAATACAAAACGCCCTGTTCAAACTACATTTCAGAAAAGTAGCATTTTGTATTTTCCTTTTAGTTTTTAAACAAACAAACGTACAGAATCCGGAGACGTCTCATTTTGTAGAGAAATATTTGCTTTACAATTCTATACATCCACAACAATACATATGCTTTCGTTAAAAATCTATCACCAGAGAAAAACGTCAAAATTTCGTTACGCAATTTCACTCCGGTAGCAGAGTTAGCTGGCCATGCTCCAATGCATTTCATTATCAAGTGAAGCTTGAATGCTATCCAATTATTTCTATAACTCGATGAATTATTTGTTATTAAAGTTCAATTTCTTCGAACGCTATTCAAATATTGTATGGATCATAAATAATGACACAATAATTGTCGTAATTCATATGCCATTGACTTATGAACGTGGTCTTCCATCGAAATCTGACTTGTAACTTTCGTTTATGTAAACCTATTGAATTTAACGAATACATTCTGCAAGTTATTATTTTTCTCTTTATGACATACATCATATTATAGATGTTTTCTATATTTTACATCGATAATAGAATCCTCATTATTCATTATCTTAATTTTTTTCCAAGTGTGGGTTTTGTTTCGAGCTCCATAAACTCATGACTTTTTTTCTTTTGTGCCATTTTTATTAGTATATTACATTTTTTTAGTGTTGTTTTTAATAATGACTTAATATAATTAAATAAAATACTACACTGAATAAAACTAATAAAAGTGAATTGAATTGGAAAAAAATAAAAGTTCTTTTTGCATAACAAAACTTCACTAGTTATTCTAGATGTCAGAAAAAATCTATAACATAGAAAATAAAAGTTTTTTATTCCGAATCTAGGGTTCATGACTTGGCTCCAACTCAAGTTTGCATCATGTAGAAAATTCTGAAAATCGATATTGAGTTGAATGAAGTTTAAAGAAAAACTATTCTATAGGAGAGAAATATTTATTGAACATCCTGTATGAGAACGAACGAGAGAAAATCTACTTGCACGATGAACACAGGAATTGATGTTTTTTTTACTCTATCGTACAAGTAGTAATAGTAATCATAATTTACAGTCAAAAAATATTAAAACAATCAATATATTAATCATATGAGGTAGTAAAACAAGTTTAATTTTCTCTACTGCCATCCAAGTTGAAAGTAACTGAAAAGAATGAATTTGTTTAAACGAATAAAAATAAATAAACAAGAGATAATACAGATTTTTCTTTTTTGTCCGAAATAATGCTTCAACATGTTCGATGTGAATTGTTCATTGGCATATCTATGATATGTACTAAGATTTATTTATAAATCTCTTTTACTTATTTACAAGTCTCTGTATACTAATTTAGTACATTTTATTCATTTATTTCGAGTTATCAAGGCTCTTGCATCATCATAGTGACACTTTATTTTTTTAGTATATTATTGTATAGATCATACTACAGTGACTTCGTATGTATACGCATATACGTGGATATGCACATTGAGAAGATGAGAAACAAACAGAGAGAGTAGAGAGAAAAAAGATAGCTAACAAACAAAAGTTTACTGAATTTTCGAAAAAAATCGATTTAAATAAATTTCTACTCATGATTAGAGAACACATATTGATAAAATTTAGACTAATATATTCAGTTTTCTATGCTCATTCAAATGATGCCACTTTTGTACAGGTCGCACGGAATCAAATTTTTTTCTACAATTGATATGTCACCATTTTTAGATTGATTACTATAAATACTTGAATACTTTGCTTCAAAGTGTTTCTTTCAAGAAATAGATGTGAACTATGTGGTGACTGCCCCAAAGCAATAAATGATGAGAAGGCTTACTCAAAAAACAAAACCAAATAGTTCAGTCCAAAAGCTTACGTAAGAATATTATATAAATACACTATTTATATCTATTTCATTTCAGAAAGTTACGTTTATAAAAATGACACAAATGTTAGACGCAGTAGTTGCAATCAGTATATCCGAAAATATGCGTTCGTTATATTTCAAAATAATCAAGAAAGTTGATGTTACGATATTTTCGATAGTTATACATATAATATTAAATCTTTATTTCTATTGTAGCCTTACCATGGGATGTGGATGTCTGAATTAAAAGAAATTCTGCATTCACACCCACATCCCACCTTCATGGAAAATTTTATGATCTCGTATGTGGCTTATGTAGTAATTCACAAATCAAATTAATGAAAATTTCACGCATAAAATGTGTGCAATCATTATTAATGACTGATACTACAGATATTTTTGCTGTTATGACTCTTGATTGTTCTTCGCCGGACGATATTGAAAAGGAAACATATTGTCGCTTATAAAACAGATCATTCGTTATAAAATCTGGTGTTAAGAGGAATATAAAATATTTAAAACAGTTATTGCTAGCAAAGAATAATAAACATATACAATAACTGAAAAGGAAACGGGCACTATCAACGTAAACAAAACTTCCAGTCATTCAAGTCAAAAATTCTCATCATCGTAAACAACTACAACCACAACAACACCAACGGTAACTTGGATGCTAGTGGAGTGTAGATATGGGTAAGAAAGTAAGTCGTTGTCCGCACAAACCACCCACATTCGCACCGATATACAATCAGCTTTTTTTTCTCCTAGTCTTTATTCTACGAACTGAAGCTAACATCATCAGCTACTACTAGTGATATTAACTAAACTCTTCCACTGTCAACGTTTACTTCGTTCGGAGCTCTGCGGATTCAACTATGAATTTAAATCAACTTAGTGATTTCTATCAAGAGAGACCCATTTTTGCAGAAAATTGTGCACCTTCTATTAATCATTCTTTTCATCAAAGCCATCTGCTCGACCGAATCCTTGAATATTGATGCGTAGTATGCTCTTAAACTGTAATATCTGTTACTATCTTTGAAGAAAAATTGTAGAGGACATTATTTTTTCTTTTGATATAAATAAAGACTAAAGAAAAAAGTATGAAAGTCTGATAAAAATGTTGACTGAAACAAGTAGCGAACAAAAGAGGCATAAGTAAGCAGCCATTATCTATATAGATAAAGTTGTGTAGTTGTTTGTTGGTAGAGTATTTCAATTTTCACCTGATTGCGATTACGACGTTTTCATTCAGGTAAGCTCCTATCAGAATTTCATTAGTCTCGTGGTCTTTTCATTTAACATGATTGGCATTTAGTATGGGACAGCAATACTGATTGTGCCGAACTAATTTGCGAGAAAGTGACGCAAACAGCGTTTTTTAAGAAGTTACAGAATTCTTAGTCGCACAATATTAAACATGGAATATCTTAGTCTATCATCCCATCTCAATTATTGAGATTTTAACAGACACAGTGTCTTTCAGCATTCTTCAGTGCTTACGATTGGACTGAAAAAATAGATAATCTATACTATCACATTACACTTCACATCAAGGACCGACATCCAACGTCCGCAGCTAAAAGTCAATAGCAAGCCTAACTGTCCACAGTCGAGCCAACACGATGATCCACATCGGAGCTCCTATCAGGACCAACAACTATGTCCACACTTAGGTTCTCGCCAAGGCTCGTACCAACATCAAACTCTTACACATGCCCACTCTGAAATCCCACTCTCACGCCAATACTCTAGTACTAAAATCTTGTCGAACAGTGTACATATACAT